ATCAAGATCCTGCTCTGCCCACAGAGGACAGTCCACCCCTTAACATAGCATTTAAGGGCTGCACAACGTGCCTTTCCAAGTTTATGTCTGGTTCCACCCACTGTGGTGGGCTTTTTTTCTCTCCCTCTGGAAACCATCATTGTTCTACAAATTTCCTTTCCCTTCTCCTGCCTTTGATCATGCTCAGACTCACAAAGGTACTCCTATGTTCCAAATTATAGGACCCTTGGTGTGGTTGGGGCTTAGCGTTTGGCTGTATAGTTGTCTTTCCCTCTCCTGGCACTGTGTAAGCTTTTTGAGAGCAGGGAGTTTATACCTTCCCTCCTTCCCGCCCCCAACAAAAAACCTCCGCATAGAGTCTCAGAAAGAAAGAAAGTATTAAATGAAGGTTGTTGGTAAGTTTCTACATGTAAAACTCATAGAATGTTAGAATCTTGGTGTTGAAAGACATAGTAAAAGTTATCTAAGATGCATAAATCCCTTTGGTGAAGCTGTTTTGGGTTATCTATTACTGAGTAACAAACTACCAGAAAATTTAGTGGCTTAAAACAATAACCATTTTATTAGCTTATGATTCAGTGGGTTGATAATTCAGGCAGGGCTTGGCTGGTTGGCTCTTCTGCTCCACAGGGTATCAGCTGAGATCAATCACTTGGTTGGGGTCATTCACTGGGATGGGCTGGCAGAACCAAGAAGGCTTCACTCACTGTCTGGTGCCTTGGTGTCCCTCCACTTAGCCCCTTCCTCTCTGCATGGTTGTTGGGCTTCCTTTCAGTATGACAGTCTAGGATAGTAGGGCTTCTTCTGGGACAGCCTCCAAGCATGGGGAGCATTGCAAGAGAGGTAAAAGTAGAAGCTGCAAATCTCTTATAACCTTTCCACAAAAGTTACATGAGTCCTTTCTACTGCATTCATATGTCAAAGCTAGTCACAAGGCTGGCACAGATTCAAGAGTGGGGGAATAGACCCCTGCCTCTGAAAGGAAGAAGGGGCAAAGAATTTGCCACCAGCCATGTTTAATCTACCATAGAAACCTTTTGAGACAATGTTTCAGCCTATGCTTAACTATTTCCTGTGATGAGGAGCTCAACAAAACAAAAGGCAGATCTAACGAAAAATATCCCAGCTCATAAACCCAGACTGTTTGACTCCAGAGTCCTTGATCTGATGTTACTGACAGACACTGCCCTAATGAGCCCCTCCAGGGCCTCCCAGACATGACTCACATGTCCAAGGCTCCTAGAAATGAAGACATATCAAATCAGCATTACTATTTCTAATATACTTTAAACAATCACATTTAGCAAATTAATTTTTGAACCAAAAAAAAAATCACAAAATGCTACCCAAATTGTTTGAGTCCCTCAGTAAACCTAGAGCCAGACCAGATGGCCTTCCTGGCCCCCTGTGAGCCCTGGCACAGAGTACCCCACACTTTATCACTCCCTCTGTCACTGAGGTTCTCAAGAAAACCATCAACCAGCAAATCTCCACTGGCAACTTAATCCCTCCACGATCTTCTTGTGAACTGAGCCCCAGGCCCCCAGCTGCATGGAGCTGCCCTTCCAGCACCTGGGGCTCAGCCCCTGTCTGGGGAAGAGGGAGGCCAGAAATTAGAACAGGTGACTCTCACTGTTAGAGATATAGAAAAAGAATTGCTTTTCTTCCTCAGCAGACTTAAATAATCATATGCAAAATCCAACAGTGTAAACTAAATACCTCTCCACTATGAATTGGATTTGAAATATTATTATGGAATTATTGTCCAATACGTGTGACAGTGATTATTCTGCCATGCAGGGAAATGTCCTTCCTCATAGGAGATGCACACTGAACTACTTAGGGTTTTATCAGGAGTCCACAAACCCAGGCTCCCAGGCCAAATCTAGCCAACGTCTATAGTGCCACTGGAACACAGCCACACCCTTTCATTTCTACACTGTCCATGGCTGCTATTGTGCTACAGTGGAGAGTTGAATAGT